GCCATGCTCCCCCCACGCCCCCACGGGGCCAGGGGGGTGAAATCGCCAGCTTCTGGGAGTCTTATGAGGCTTCCCAAGCCTTCCAGGACCCTTGCAATGCTCCCCCCACCTGGAAGCTGGCAATTTCACCCACGCTGGCCCCGTGGGGTGTGGGGGGAGCGTCGCAAGGGTCCTGGAAGGCTCACCCGGACCCTTGAGACGCTCCCCCCCATGGGGCCAGCGGGGACGAAATTGCTGCCTTCGCACATTTTTGGGGTGAGTGCGTCTTATGGAGCAAAAGATACGGTATTCCATCATATAAATATTGGTAACCATTCCCAAGCAGATAGGGACCTAACACCACCATGTTTCATTTCTATTATTCATCAGCTACATAATATTGCATAATCAAAATAATTTGATATAAAGTTTACTGATAAATCAATAACCTTTTTTTTAATCTTTAGCAAGAGCACATTCGATAAAATTGACATAAAACATTTAAGCTTCCCATCAACAATCCTCTCTACAGTTTCATGTTTTTCAGTACCTATTTTAATGTGTTTATTCCCAGTATATACCAGCCACTCATAGACTTCATCACTGATACACAGGGTGTCATATTTAATACAGAGATCAGCGATTATCTGGAGCTCTTCTTTTGTATAAACCTAGAAGAAGAACAAAAAGGAGGAGGAGAAGGAGGAAGAAGAAGAAGGAGATATGGTCACTTGATCACTATAATCTAAATCCATGTGGTTATTACATCTAGCAGAGAGATATAAAAACAGGAGTCTCACCTTTCCTATAGGATTATGTGGGGTATTCAATATAATAGCTTTTGTCTTGGAATTAAATTTACTTGCAAGTTCAGTGGGATCTAATACCCAGTCAGCACTTGATGGAACATCTCTAGCTGCAGGTTTCTAGGAAATAGAGAAGTATATTTTATTTAGGTGAAACACACTGATCTTGAACATGTTTCATCTGCAGTTTAATTGTAAGATTTATTATATTATGTAGGGCATATGTGTAAATAGCATACTGTAATTACTAATACAAGAATACTAACATGGGCAACATCATATGCCACTTCCCAATAAGAGATCTCCGGAATTGTTAGCCTCCATGCCGAGACTCCTTCCAACCAAGAGATTCAATAACGAACAGTTAATGTTACATAAAGCACCAACCCTATGAAAATGCTCTTTATCTTGTAGTTCTATGGCACCTTTCACATGACTGCCAATCTTCCTAGAATTAATATGCAGAAAAATGTCTAGCATCACAACTTCAATAAGCTTAAATCCTTCCATCTCTAATCTTTTCATAAATTTACATATAAACATGTATCAAATAAACCAGACATACTACACACCAGGAGTTACCAAATTAGTCCAAGGCATGTCTGTGCTCATTTACATCATGTGACACCACAGTTTAACCCTATAGCAAGCGGACACAGCCTGTGTTTTTTTTAAAACCCATATCTCTTGTTACTAATGTTTTTACTGAACATGTTCTATTTTCACTTAACACAGATTGCAAATTAAGGCAATTAAGTGGAGGGAAAATAAGAAAATAAGAATTTCCATTACAAATGCATTCAAAATGTGAATTCCTCTTCCTTTGATTACTTCTGATAAAATTTCTGAATGTTATAACTTTACAAACATACTCACGTATCTCAAAGATATAAAGACAGGTTTTGCCCCTGCCATCCTCACCATAGGCTCGTAACAATCAAAGAAGGGCTCTATTATTATCACCTGAAATACACATATCAGTAAGCACTATGGATAAGAAATGTATGAATGACCTAAGTTTTCCTTCAGAGACAGAGCCACAATGTCATCTCACTGATACAGCAAACAATCTGAGAAGTTCATAGAACAATGAATTCAAAATAGCACTTCTTCAGCAGCGAGTTGCGGTACATAGTACTTCAGATATTGGTATTCTCCAACCTATGCATTGTATTGAGCTGTAGACTAAGTACTACAGCCACTGGACTTAATCGCTGCCCGTTGGTGAGTTGTCCAGGAGTGTCGATAATGAAAAAAGACACCCAGGTACTTAAACTCTCTAACCTGCTGAATATGGTTGCCATTGAAAGACCACGAGAAGGATTTCCAAGCTTTGCCAAACGCTATAATTTTAGATTTCTCAAAGTTTAACTGGAGATTATTGCGTATCAGATAGTCATAGCAACCGATAACTAACCGCTTTAGGCCAACCCTTGTGCGGGAGAGGATAACCATGTCGTCCGCATATAATAGAACTGGAATCTGTATATGGCCCAATTTGGGGCTATGACCATTGATATTATGTAGGAGTGGGGCGAGGTCATTAATAAATAGATTGAACAGAGTTGGTGCCAGAACGCAGCCTTGCTTCACTCCTCTGTTGGAAAAGATCTGATTGGAAAGGGCCCCCAGCATCGACGTTTTTATGCGACATGTAGAGCCCTCATGGAGTTTTTGGATTAAGAAGAGGAGCCTCCTATCAATACCCAGCCTGGCGAGCTTTAGCCATAGGATATCTCTATCGATGGAATCAAAGGCCCCTTTTAGATCTAGGAAGGCTGCATACAAGCGAGTATTGCGCTGAGAGGTATATTTAGAAATCAGATGGGATAAAATCAGGCAGTGGTCTAATGTAGACTTTCCTGCCTTAAAACCCGCTTGTTCAGGTCCCAGAATATCTTGATCTAATAGCCAGTCTTGTAATTTGTAGAGTAGATAACTGGCGTACATCTTCCCAGTGATAGCGAGAAGGCTAATTGGTCTGTAATTTGCAGGGGATTTCTTATCACCCTTCTTATAAATGGGAATCACTATGGCTTGAGTCCAAGACCTAGGCATAATACCAGATCGATTAACGGTAGTAAATAAAGTAGCAAGCACAGGCGCCCACCAGTCGGGGTAGGCCTTAAGCAGTTCCGGAGGAAGGGCATCGGGACCCGGAGCCTTACCAGATCTAAGGTGTCCTATAAGTTTTGTTACTTAGAACAGCCACAAGAACGATGGCCATTTACCCTTGCCAGATGCAATATAGTACCATCGAGCATAGCGCAGGGCAGGTACAAGGGTTTACCAATAGAACTGAGACTCTGCCCGCGTGGTCAGGGAGTAGTTGAATCCCCGCAGCACATGCTATTTTATTGTACTCTGTACAAGGATATTCGCCTGTCCCATCTGTGCGCTTTTCTCTCCTCCCATTCCGGATAGGATGATATGAGGAAAATGCAGCATCTTCTAAGTGGCAATATTAAGGAACTTACCCTGTCAACTGCCAGATACGTATATGCCATCATGCAGAGACGTCGTAGCATGGTCTCGCAGAATGAAGAGCCCTAAATATGCTCTTGGCTGGCTCTTCCTACCCGTTACCCAGTGAACATTTTAGTTGTATGTTATTGTATTTGTCTGTTTTACTGTACTCAGTATGCCAATAAAGGTTTCTGACTGACTGACTGACTACTACAGCCACTGACACTGTCTTATTACAATGGGATATGGCAGAAGAAAAAGGTGCAGTAAGTAAGAGAGAAAAGAAAGCACAGGACAATGACTGCATTCTGTGTACTAGGAGATAAGAGTAAGGAAGACAAAATTTACAATAAACACTACTAAACAGAGTGAGACAAGGTGAAAAGCAAAACGTAAAAGAAAAATGTAACTACAAATTCATTACCAATTTTATCCCAAATAAAGTGGTTTATTTGATTGAGGACTCACATTATTCTACACACTTAACATCAGCAATGTTCCTGATTCTACAAAGACTGAGAGAAATTCCCATTATTGACAGACTGACAGAATCTTAGATAAAATGCTCAAGGAAAATGTTCAAAATATATTTCATGTTCTGAGGGCTCAGCACTGACTTCTTTGATATCTAAATTACCAGACATCTAGGAATTTTCCAGTCCTGTTGGGAGTAGCCAAGGAAGAGAATTTGTCACAAAGATAAAAACTGGAAGGCCGGGAAACCAATGTAAAGAATGTCACTGCTAGTTTTCAGAACAGCCCTGCTTTTGTACCTCCAGTAGCAACTTGATACTTAATTAAGTGACTGACCTTGCTTAATATCCCTTCATCCTCATGCCACAAAATCTTTCATTTTCTAAATCAATGTATGTCATCTTGCTGTGAAATGCACAGGAGTCAGGACAGTTTTTTTTTTAAAAAAAGATAGCAGATCTAGTCTGATTTTGATTTCTTATGCCACAAAAATCAAGAAAATCCAGGCCTATCATCCATTGGATTCACCAAGAAATTAAATGTTAGTGTGGATTTACTAATAGGATTTCCAATGCTATTTTGATTTTGCTAATAAAATGAAGCAAATAAACAGTTTTTAATAGAACACAATCAGAAACTTGGCCAGCCCCCTGTTTATGTATTATGTAAAAGGATCACATGCCTTTTTACATTTTTTTGTTAAAAAACTTACTTCATCTTCTACTTCAATGAGTCCTTGTACTGCACTAAAAAGAGATCCATATCCTCCTACTGTTACCAGAATGTCAGTGTAGGGGTCAATCTTTCTTCCACAAACTTTTTCATACAACTGGGACAAGACTTTCACCAACAATGGATGCCCCTGTGTATTTTTTTAATAAGAAAATATACAGTTAGTTTTTGCTTGATGATGAATAACAAAAAAAATATAATAAAGTGTGATTTATCAGCCACATACACTATGACCGATACACAAAGCACACAGGAGCCAAGGGGTAAATTGTTAGAATAATATGGTTAAGACCGAAGATTCAGATACAATCATAACTTAGAGCCAGGAATACTAAAATGGAAAAAAAAAACCCAAATCATACAGGGCACAATCCACACAGTGTCTCTTTTGTACAGCTTGGATTCCACTGAACAGGAGTCTTTGTGTGAGAACACAAGCTATGAACTGTGGTCAGAATTAGTAAGATTGAAATCTATGAGAGTATCCCTTTTAAGAGAAAGCGATAACAATCTGGAAACAAAAGAGTTGATAAAGGCTACAAATTGCATTTCATTCCAGAAAGAAGTTGTACAGTAATTCATGGGTGATCTAAGCAGGAATAAGACATCCAAAGCAATAAACTAGGACAGTGATGGCAAACCTTTTTGGGCTTGCATGCCCAAACCGGGTGGGGGGGGAGATAGCAGGCGTCATGCCATGGTAGCGGCGGAACCGGAAGTGTCAGCAGCAGAAACGGAAGTGGCAGCAAAAGGGGGAATCCTGGCACGGAGGTGCCTCAAGACCCCACTCTAGATCCACTGCCAGCGCCAGCTGCTCTAGATCCACCTGCTGAAGTGCCAGTACCACGGCCGCAGCCACCTTCTCAGGTTTGGCTGCGGGGTGGCAGAGGAGCGATTCAGCGACTTATGGCTCGTGTGCCGGCAGAAAGGGCTCTGCATGGTTCACCATTGCTGAACTAGGAAGTGGAAATAAATATAACCATATACTTCGTCTGTACTTTCTAACTTCTTTTCCCCTGCTGTTCCCATGTGATTCCTCACATGGGAGTTTTAGTGCAAACCTAATTGATACAATGATGCCTTTCCAATTATATTATGTGGCAATGTAAAAATATAGTTAGATTGCAAAGTATTAAGGACACAGTAAGTATGAACACTGCAGTCAAAACTGAAGCAAGAGCTGGATTGTGAACTAACATAAACAAGTAAATGTAAGGCAAATGGAAAGAGTGAGTAGCCTCTAAAGGAGTTCTCAAAAATCTGTAATTCTTTGTTGTCTATAAAAATTTCTTAACTATTACAGATCCACTCCAGGAATCTGCACTGCTGAGTGGATCATATCTTAAACTTCCAATATGAATCCTTAAAATATAAAGAATTGGAGAACAATCAAAAACTGGATCAGATTTCTCTTTTTAAGTATCATATCCAGATTTAAAAGACACAGCAGCAAGGAATCCAACAGCCTTGTTTAAAAGCATTGAATAAAAAAACAAGAACTGGCCACTAAAAGAAAACAAAGGCAATGCTATATATCGGCGTTCACTATTATCCATGGTTTTTGGCACCCACAAGGGGAGCTTGGAACCAATCCCCCACAGATTCTGCAGTCCTACTGTACCATGGTTTACTTAGGAGAAGCAATAGTAAGCCCCATTGCATGTGCTTCCCTTACCGCCATGCAGCTGCTGGAAGGGGATCATAGATTTCTGCTTCTGTTTTAGATTAACCACTACTAGTTTCTAAATTACAAGATTCAACCAGCTCAGATCTCAAGATTCAGTTAATCTAGAAAAGTGAAAGATTTTGAACCCTACCTCAAGGTTATCACAACGAGTGTAGGAGTGTGGTACACCAACATTAATTGTCGCTTATCCTCATAATGCTAAAACATGATTACACATTACTCAAAATTTGAGATCATCTTGTAAGCTTTAGCTGAAACAGGAATGAACTTATAGCTTATATGCTACAGGAAACAGTCATCCTATTCTTTACTTAAGTCTGTGCACAGACCTCTTTAGATTCACACTTACATTAACAACTGTTTGCATCTTTATTAGAGATGGGGACAAATTTAAAAAATGGTGATTCATTTTGACCCATTATTCATCAAGGTTAACGGATCAATAAATACAAATATACAAATATTCTTCGACAAATTGACTGATTGATCCGTAGATTTGTCTGCACTTTAAATGGCTATAACACTGGCCCCCAACCACCTAGAGACACCAGATTTGCAGGGAGGCTTCCTCAGACACTTTTCTACAAGTCTTGAAAGTTTGGTGAGCTTTGGATGATGGACCCCTGGGTTATACAGTCACAAAAGGACCCCCCAGGAAAGCTCCCCCAAGTACTTAAGAGACTCCGGAATCATGACGGAGCTTCCTATGTCTTTCCCCAACACGCCTGCCAACTTTGGTGAAGATTGCATATCGGAACCCCAAGTTATTCACTCATGAATTGGGTCCCTCCGGGAGAGTTTACCACACCGCACAGAAGCCCATTCTGCCCACCAGCCACCGATCAGCTGATCAGAAGCCGACAGGCAGCCACCCCAACAGCCTGCCCCCCACTCCCTTCCTTTCCCCAACCTTTACCCCCACCCCACTCCCACCAACACCTTAATAGCTGCTGCTGAGGTCTCCATTAGGCAGGCTAAGGGAATCCAGGCAGCCCTTTACAAAGATGGCAGCTGCAGCTTCTCTACCCTAAATGAAACTCCAGCTGCCATCTTTGCAAAGGGCAGCCAGTCTCCATTTTTACATGCATGGCTGCAAGGCCAGAAGACCTTGGCAGCAGCGATTAAGGTAAGAGGGTGTCAGGGGGTGGGGGCCTAAAGTAGGGAAAGGAAGGGGGTGGGGGTAGGCTGTAGTATTGGGTGGCTGTGTGGGGCGGTGGCTGCCTTTCTGCCGCTGATCAGTGGCCGATAGGCAGAATGATTTTTTTAAATTTGTTTTTTTAATACAAAAGATGAATAAAAACAGGTAAATATTCATCCCTTTGTATTCATGAGGGTCTCTGGAACCCACAAATACAGATCAACAAATATTTAATGAATCCGCTATATTTGCTGGAAAAACTGATCCATTTTTATATTCATCCCCATCTCTAATCTTTATGGTTAGAGGCTGCACTGCTTCTCAGTGCAAGATTCAAAACCTAAGAAAGGGGGATTGAGAAACAGTGTGGCTACACAACTGCTTTATAATAGTATCTTTAAGAATTTCATGTATATAAATATACTCACAAAGCCCCGTGTATACTGGTTCAGTCTATCCACAGAGGATGCTTTTGCTAACTCCTCTTTCACATAATTAGGAGGGCTTATATCTGGAAGGCCCTGCCCAAGATTAACAATGGAAGGATCTGCAGCTACTTTTGTAAATTCTACCCTGTAAAAAAAAATAACCACAATCATAGTTAGTATACAATGAGAAGGATATTGTATTTGAATATGTTGTGATTTGATCTCAGTATTCCAGATCAAATCACAACATAGAGTAAGTAGCTCTGAGAGAAGTGACCCCACGAGGGGTTGATCTGGTATTCCAGAGGCTTAATTGCCAAAATATTCCCAAGGAGTATATATAAAATAGAGAAAGTATCTCTTAAACATGGTAGGAAGATCCTGTTTAAGAGACTGAGACTGACAAAAACCAAAGGAAGAAGGTGCATTCAAAAACTGTACAACTTCGAAAAGCTCCATATTTGTTCAACCTTGACATTTCAATATGGGTTGGCAAGTTCCATGCAGTAGGTAAATGCAAAACTGCAGCCATGACGCCATTCAAGGCAATTATAATAGGCTTACTCTGAGATCTTTACACACTGAAATCCAATAGTGCCCACTACTATTCAGCACCTTCTGTACCAAATACCACTTCTTGAACTTTCTGAAAGCCACATCTTGATCTGGACCAGCCACACATCAAATTCATGTATTTCAGTGTATTAAGTCACAGCAGAGTAGACTAAATCAATCAATGACAATTTGGTGAGTTAACTCCTCCATTGGTTCTATTGATTCAAATGGGCCCACTCTAGTTATTACTTATAATGCTAAAGTAAATCACAACTAGGCCCATTTGAATCAACAGCATTGACAGGGGAGTTGATTCAGCAAATCCCCACTGATTCAATGGGCCTACTCTAATGCAACATCCTACGTTAAGGAACAGGATTTCCACCACTATCTTCAATAATGATTATTATCTAACAGTTTTCTTTTACCCCAATGTACACTTTTAACAGAGGCATGCTATGAAAAACAGTATGTAATACATATCTCCATGTTAGGAATACCTCCCTGAACTGACTTCTCCATCACAAAGTGATGTTAAACCTACAGAAGCAAGTCAGCTCACTTTAGCCCCACTGGTACACATGGTCAACAGTGAATATAGACAAAAAGAATACAAAAGCATCTAGAAAATTTACAGATATTTTCTTTCTTTATTCTTTCAACAGTTTGCTATAATTGTTACTTACCAAACATTGCTATCGAGTCCTTCAATTCGTTTTGCATTTCTGTGCCTGAAGGTCATGGTCTATGTGCAAAAATTGAAAGAACAGAGGGTTTTTATTAGAAATAAAAATATATTATTAAGACATCAAGGCAATGCATAACATTGTTCTCTTTAAATGTCTTCCTAAAGCAAACCGTTACTGATAAACTGACAGTTCCTGCACACACTCTTCCATGTTGAACTCTACCAACATTTCTTACACATCTGAATTTCTGGGGGGAGAGGAGGTCGAGAATAATACAAATAACAATAGCAATCGAAGTTCAGCATAATTTCTATTCAAACCTAATACAAAAAGGACAGCATATACAACAGATGCACAACCTTCTAGCATCTGCTTTAAAATAAGAGGTGAAGAAATGAAACATTTCTCTTTCTTTTTCCTTTTCAGGGACAGTCATGGTACCAGAATAACGTCTAATGCATCCAACTCAACCTGCTCTGAAAAAAGAACAGCTGGATTGGCTTTCTTATCATTTTCCAATTTTTTTAAAAAATGTCATTACTCCCTTTCTCTTTGCTTTCCAGAATCCTGCTAAGAACTAATGTTTTATTCACTGCTATAAAATCTGGATTTGGCCAACATATACTTCAAGTAGCAGCAAACTCTCATCTCAATACTAAAAGTATAATCACAATATAAAAATTCATTCCACTATTCCCCAAAGAAACACCAATACTGTATGAGCTATGAAGGTGTGAGTGCAGAGAAAGTGAATGTTCTACTCTCAGCAACAGAAAAACAATGCCAATAAAAAGCAGCACAGTCCAAGTTACTTTCCTTGAATTACACTTGCTAAATATGTGTATTGCAAAACATTAATTCTCAACCACTGGCTGCATCCCAGTTCCAAATCTTGGACTGCTTCATAGAGACAAAGAATGAATGATTTCTTTTTGAAGCTTCGCGTGGGCAAAGCAAACCTCGCAACATCACATTTTGGAGTTCGGCCTTTGCCTAACTTCAAAAAAAGAAAAGAAAAGACCTTTTTCAACCATTTCTGGCAGCACCTTTAACAGATCAAGACTTCTGTGTTATCAAGAGAGAGAAAAGGAAAAAGTGAGGGTCAGACCTTGGATGAGGTATAGGTGCAAAGAGGGAACAAAGGAAGACCTATTGACAGGAATAAAAGAGAAACAGTTGAAAAGATACCAGCATCTTAAATGTATCTATTTTCTTTCTGAGACATAAGTTACAACCTTTGCATACTTACTAGATACTAGGTGTCAAACACATACAGTAGAGTCTGCTTCCTTGTGTTGTAACACAGCCTCATCCAATGCCTGTGTACTTCTACCTATTTCCTCTTTAAAGGGAGCCAGCTAAACAACTAGTACTTCAGCCAGACTTCATCCCCTCCCTGTGGTTATGAGTTGGTCACTTCTGCTATTATTATGTTTAATTTTCTGATTTTTTAAAAAAACTTATTTATTCCAACAAAAAGAAAGAAATGAAAGAGAGGAGAAATACAGAATATAACAATGGTCTAGCTGCATATATGCATTAATAAAAGCTAACCACATGTCTTTATTTAGAATTTGCATCATGATAGATGTTCTTGCAAATACTAAATTAGTGAGACTTTCTAAATACTGAATAACACATGGCATATGCTTATCTTTCCACTAGATCTTTTGGCAACAGTAAGAGCTCATAAAATCACACTGACCACCAGTTAAGTTTAAATTTTTAGATATATGGTTTAAAAGCACTACACATATATGCCTACAAATAAAAACCATTTTCCTAACACAATGTTAATTTACTGCAAGACATACAACCAAAACTAGCTACCACTGGACACATTACCAACATATGCCTCACAGAAGCAATGCTTCTATTGAAATGCTAAAATTTAACTGAAGTAGCCAGTTTTCTTCTAAATAAACAAAATGGATATACAATATGTCAAAACATCAGTTATTATGAAAACAAGAGTAGTTTTAAGTCTGCAGAGATCTTAGGCATTGAAGCTAGTGCAGATTTCCATTGCACTGGACAGTCCAATTCAATTTCAATCTCCTTTTATTAATATCAAACTTAGTGCTTTCCAAAAGACATTTATAAACTACAACTGTTGGTTTCAACAATGTAGATTACCATATTTTTCCGTGTATAAAATGACACTTTTTACTTCAGTGAAAAAATTGAGGGTCATTTTATACACGGAAGGCAGCTGCTTTCCCTGCATTTTGCGAAGCCACAGGGCTTAGCAAAAAGGAAGGGAAAGCTCCCTTCGGGTAAAGCAGCCATTAAAGGTCTGCACAATCACACCCCTATGATCCTGGAGCAGCCATGAAAGGGCTTCAGGATCAAAGGGGTGCGACCATGCAAATTTTCTAATTTGGGGGTTAGAAAAGGGGGGTCATCTTATAAACAGAAAAATACGGTAATTATTTTTTATTGTATGCTTGGGGCCCACACAGAACACCATATTTTAATTCTTGCCACAACTTTATAGATGGTTTTCGACCTTGCGCAACTTGGGGGTGGGGGACAAGGAAGGCAGACTCTGGCCCTCCTGGATTTCTAGAATGCCTCCTAAGGGAGCTGAGGATAAAGGCACGGTTCCCCAGAAGACAGGGAACCACTGGGTGGGTGGTTGGGTGGGGGCTGTGCACCTATGTGGTCTCCACTCGATAGCCATTCCTGCACTGTACCCAACCAGTAGCCGAGGAATGGTGAACACATCTGGATAAGCCTTGGGATCTGTGTCCCGATGCTGAGCCAGGGTATTACTGTTATAAACAATAAAGTTGTGACTTTCCTTGCCTAGCAGGTAATATACCAAAGTTTTCTGTGTATAAAACATTTTCCCCTAAAATAGAGAAAAAATTGAGGGTTGTTTTATACACGGAAAGCAGCAGCAGAAGGCGGACCCACGGGGCATGGCAAAAGGCAGGGGGAAGCAGGGGTCACTTTGACAGCCACTTTTCCCTGCCTTTTGCAAAGTGGCACTTCTCCCTTCCTTTTTTTGCTAAGTCCCGTGGCTTCGCAAAAGGCAGGGAGAAGCAGGGGTCAGTCTGACAGCTACTTTTCCCTGCCTTTTGCAAAGCCCAGGGGCTTCACAAAAAGGAAGGGAAAAGTGGCGAAGGGAAGGGAAAAGTGGCAGTGAAAGGGAGCCCTTTGATCCTTGCTTTTCCCTTTCTTTTGCTAAGCTCCATGGCTTAGCAAAACGAAGGGAGACACAGGGATCAAATGTTCTAATTTGGAGTTAGAAAAAAAAGGGGGGTCATCTTATACATTGGGTCGTCTTATAAACGAAAAAAAACTGTATATTTGTGTTTATCTTTTCTTTCTACTTCCCCTGCTGGGTCCCAGTGCCCACCAAGCATTAAGAATGCAACAGATGAAACCAGTATTATACAGTAAAGACTTGGTCCACAGCATTTCAATCAGCACAATTAGCATCATTATTGGGGTTTTTCACTCCACACCCTGATTATGAATAAACCTACAAAGCTTAATAAGACTTTTTCAGCCACCTTTTAAGGAATCAGATCTACTCTACTGACTAGTGTATTTTATCATTCTAATATTGACTTCTAATTTACAGAAACTGATCAACCAGAACAATTAAAAATACAAAACTAAGCATTTAAGCTTCTTCTAATGAACTAAAACATGTTCTTAAACTAACGATAAGTGCTCATTCACCTTTGCTGGCAAGCAGTGTTTGGTAAAATAAAGGTAAAAGTTCCCCTTGACCATTTTTGTCCAGTCGTGTTCAACTCTAGGGGGCAGTGCTCATCCCCATTTCCAAGCCATAGAGCCAGCGTTTGTCCGAAGACAATCTTCCGTGGTCACATGGCCAGTGCGACTTAAACACGGAACGCTGTTACCTTCCTACCAAGGTGGTCCCTATTTATCTACTTGCATTTGCATGCTTTCAAACCGCTAGGTTGGCAGGAACTGGGACCACGGAGGGGCGCTCACTCTGTCACGTGGATTCGATCTTACAGCTGCAGATCTATAGACCTTACAGCACAGAGGCTTCTGCGGTTTAACCAGCAGTGCCACCACGCCCCTAGTGTTTGGTAGTAACTAGTTATAATAACTTTTTCCTTGTAATTAGTTGTTTGCCATCATAACTAAAGTACCACTACATTATATCATGACTGTAACTTAGAGATAATTGTACTCCTTTTGTGATATAATGGTAAATGTGTAGTTACTTATATACTTACAGGTCTCTATCTAAATGGTTTAGAAGGAATATCGCATGGTTTGAGTACTGACTCAAGCTGTGCCTCGTAATCCTGTCCAGTGCTCTGCCATAGGCATTGGAGCAATTTATAAAGTGGACAAATGCATAGTGAATTCTATTACAAGTCTGCAGCTTGTAGCATTCAGGAATGAGTTTGTTTGTTTATTTAAGTCACTAAGAAGTAATTATGTATTTATCTTTGAAAAATAGGAAATACTGTAAAGTGTTAGGTTTAAACTGTAACTATAAGAGTAACTAACCACCTTGGAGCTTTAAAAAGTAATTTTCAAAGCACAGGTGTGAAGATTAATGAATTAAATAAACAAAATTTACCTAGTTAAAAATAGTACAATTTTTTTTGTAGGGATAGACAATCCGGGTAACTGATTCACAAAGGGTGGCAGTTCGTGACCAGAAACAAAAAAGGATAAAATGAAACAGAGAAAGTAAAGATGAAGAGAAGGAAGAAAGCAAGGGTTTAACTTTTCTGGAAATGCAGAAGTGCATTGAATCACTTACTGCAAAGACTAGTACAGCTCTATGTCAAAAATAATGAAGATTGTATTGAAAAAATAAATTTGAATACCTCCTTACAATACTATATTAAGGCTGGCTTCAATAAAGAATGTGACAGAAGCCTTGCCAACAGAGGCAAGTTTCCAACTGAACTCTCTCAGAACAGTATCAAATAAGACTCCCACGGCAGTATACATAACACTTTTATTGTGACATAACTTTTCATGGATTGGAGCTCACTTTGGCCAAAGAATTCTGGCAACATAATGTTTCTGGAAATTGGACAGTCATATTTGTTTATTACTTATAGATTAACTGCTAGCGAACATTAACAGTGCTCTTGTCACGTTCCTAGAGGATTCTGTAGGAAAAAGTCCAATAAGCCAGTCCAATGTCAGAAGTCCAGGAGATAAAAAAACAGATGCCAAATTGTCAAAGCCAAAACACAAACCGTAGTCAGAAGTCAGAGTCCAAAAGCCAAGGGACAAGAGAATGAGGTTCAAGATAAGCAGAAGCATTGAGGCAAGCCAGGGAATTGACTTGTTACTTCCACGAGCTTCCAAGCCTCTGAGTACAAATTATATAGCAGCAACAATCACCTGATTCCTAGAAACATTCCATCCTGTTAAAACTCAGGTCTGGTCGACCTGATGTTCCTGTGAGAAGCATTCATGTGAGCCTCAGACCTCCATGTTGTGAGTCTCTGCCAAAGCTTATCTCTCACTCTGGCTAGTAGGGGAGGAGAATCTGGTGGTGATTCAGCTGTCTGTGATACTAATTGCCCAGCATTTTCCTGAGCTGTATTTAACCCCTCTGATTCCAGATCTTTGGCTGAACTCATGACAGTTCTGCTGACACTCTTATATACCTCAACAAGAAGAACAAAAGCAAATAGAAAATAAAACTTTATGCTGCTCACTGTAGAAGATAAATTAATTTTAAAGTGTTGGCTACTGTGGAAAGTAAATATACAAACCTGAACAAAATCAGGTATCAACATTCAGGATGACTGGAATAGGTGACTCAGAAATAAATCACAATAAGATGCATGCATAATCACCCGATTTATAAAAAGTTTGGATACATACTGGACAAGTTGAATACCTGAGGCTTCTCAAATAGTAAGTATTCTTCAGTAGTGATGTTCTAATGCCAAGCCATCTGAAGCATTGCAGCGAAAAGAACATGCCTGTGTAACAATATGTTTTTAATGAAACAATTTAAAAGAGAAATTAGTGCCAATCAATTACTGTAATAACTGTTCTTCAAAGCAACACAACAGAGTAGTGCAAGCACATAATTAACATTGGATTATACACATTGGTGATCTTTCAGAAGAGAGAATAATAAAAAAGAAAACTAATATGAAGACAAGAAATGAGAACTAGAATTCAATTTATTAACCACATCTGAGTCAGAAGACTCTGAGTAACCTGTTCATGCAGTGGAATGCTGATTAAGAGATTGGTTGGTTTACTTGGCTGAAAGGGACAGTATGATCACAGCTGGGGCCTAATTCCATCAGTCTTAAAATGTTTCATTCTGAAAAATTCTCAAGGATACATAGCAGGCTAAGAAGAACTGAGCAAAGAGAATATTTTCACAACGGAAATGGAAATGAACAGTAGGTCCCTAAAAGGTCTGCACTGGTACTTGTGAAGGTTGCAGGTGACAAATACGTGGGTGGATAGTGAGGTACAGTGGTGTCTCGCATAACGAGCGCACAGTTTAATGACGAATCCACATAGCGATGCGGATTTTGCGATTGAAAAACCAATCGCATTGCGATGTTTTAATAGGGTAAACATCGCATTGCGATTTATTTATTTGTTTGTTTTATTTAATTTATATCCCGCCTATCTAGTCTTGTTAGGACCACTCTAGGCGGTCTTCGCATTGCGATGTTTTCCAACAGCTGATCAGCGGTTCCAAAATGGCCACCGGAAGAAGAAAATGGCCACCCGCAGCATTTTCGCGCCGATTCCTCGCTTACTGGTGGTGATTCAGCTGTCTGTGAAACTCACTTAGCGGTGAGTTTTGTCCCCACAGGAACGCATTAAACAGAGTGTTTTTTGCCCCGTATAGCGACGTTTCGGGATAGCGATGATTTATCCGGAACGGATTATCGTCGCTATGCGGGGCACCACTGTGCTAGCATTTGCAACAATGCTTAATTAATCAACAGGGCAGAATCTCAGGAAGGCAGCCAGGAACCCAAAAGAGACTGCTCAAAAGGATGAATGGACAACACAATCAAGGAAGAGATTCAGCGTAAAAAAGAGCAAATGGAACACAGTGGAATAACAAATCTAAAGCATGTGTCATCTCTGATTACTCAAGATCATGGAGTGAGATAAGCCTAATGAAACTTGTTTGTTCACTGTGCTGCTATAGTGAATAAAAAGGACTGAATGTGAAAGGATGCTAATAAGAGAAATCACATAAATCTTGGCAGTATATTCCTGTACATTGACAAAATGCTGGTTGCATAATGGAGCACACGCCAAGAACAAAACTGGCACCTAAAAATTTGGCAGCAATTTGCTACCAAGACTTATGGTTTTTTTTCCTTACAGAAGCACAAACTGGCAATAGGATTTTATCAAAGTTAGGAATTATGATGAAGGATATTAAAAATAAAATAGCAAGTGTTTATATAAATTTTGCTTTTTAAATCAAATTAAGACTGCACATTTAAAAACCTCACAGAAATGTGTATTTTCACAATGGATCCACCAGAACTGACCACTAGAGGGGTGAGAGACTTATAAACAGTATTCTTGTTGTTGAAGAATACACAGCATGGTCTTTGTCTGCCTCTAGTGGTCAGTTCTGGTAACACATGGTAAAAATATACATTTTGGGATCCCCCCCCCTTTACCATTCGATGTATATGAATATTCCATGGTTTTCAGCACCGGGGGGGGGCTTTCAACCAATTTCCATGGATGTGGGGGTCCTACTATATAAAAGATTGTGAAGAGAGTAATCAAGTTCCCTGGAAAGATTACCACTGGAAAGGTACATACTCCTTCACAAAACATGTAACTGAGCTAAAGCAATTCAATTTTTTATTTATTTATTTTAAGGGTAAAGGGAAAAAACTCGGGATAAAGAATATATAATGCAATACATTATCACATATCTGTACTGAAACATGTCTTTACATTGAAGACTTTTGTGTCTTCCAACTAGAGGAAACATGTCTTTACGTTGAAGACTTTTGTGTCTTCCAACTAGAGTTGTCTGACTATTTTGTATTAAAATTATCACATTTAGCTTTCAGGTTATAGAACAGACCCAGTTATATACAGGAACCCATTTTTCAGTTGCTTCTTGGATTGAATTGTCTTTCAAAGCTTCTGTTAATATGTCCCTCTCCACCACTTCCATAATCTTTTCCACTAGTTCTTTACGATTTGGTATTTTGATTTTCTTCCATTTCCATGCATATAGTACTCTGGCTGCAGTTATTATATGTATCACCAAATGGCTCTCTCTCCTATCTAAACTCTTTGGTAACATACAGTATTTAATAAGAATAATTCTGATTTAAATAGTATATTACGTGGCAGAATTTTCTGTAAAAATTCATGTATTAGTATCAAATAATTTTTTGCTTCACTGCATCTCCACCACATATGATACAAGGTTCTCTCTTGTAATTTACATTTCCAACATATATTTGATGTACCTTTATATATTTTTTACAACTTATCTGGTGTCATGTACCATCTGTATAATATTTTGCATATATTTTCTTTAAAGTTTACTGATTTTGTAATTTTTATATTAACTTTCCATATTTTTCCCAGTCATCAATATCAGTATTATGCCCTATATTTTGCGCCCACTTGGTCATACAATCTTTTACCACTTCATCTTCCATCTCAATTTCTAATAACAATTCATCCATTTTTAAAATCAATTTGTCATCTGTTTCTAATAGTATTTTATCCAGGTGTATTTGCTCTTCATAAAAACCCTCCTTTTTATCTTTCACATATCTAGATTCCAGTTTTATTCTAGCCCATCAATCAATCAATCAATCAATCAATCAATCAATCAATCAATCAATCAATCAATCAATCAATCAATCAATCAATCAATCAATCAATCTATCTATCTATCTATCTATCTATCTATCTATCTATCTATCTATCTATCTATCTATCTATCTATCTTCTAACTCACCTTTTGTTTTTAATTCACAATTTCCTTTTAGTAGTTCTTTATATCTGAGCAGTCTGTTTACAGTCATGAGGTTGGGTTGCGTAAAAGCTTCTAATGGAGATATCCATTCTGGTATCTTTCTGTATATCTGATATCGTATCTTGTCCCAGGACCTTAATACAGATCTTATCAAATGGTTATTAAAATATTTACGGTCTTTAGCTTTTTCGTACCACAAAAAGGCATCCCAATCAAGCATCAGATCATGTCCTTCCAGCTTGAGTAGTCTATTATTTGTAAAATTCATCCATTCCTTTATCCAGACACAAGATTTATATGAGGGTGTGCTGATAAGTATTGAGCCTTTCCCAGAAAAAAATGAGCTAGGATGCTGTAACTGCCACACTATTCTACATATTTCCCCAAGAAGTCGATGCACTTGTGACATCTGTCCTGCAGCTTCTTAAATCCCTGCAAATAAAATTCTTCCAACTGCTGGTGTAACCACTCATTTGCAGCATTAGTTGCCTCCAGAACACTCCCAAATCGTTGTCCCTTCAGGTGTTTGTTGAGTTTGGGGAACAGATAATAGTCAGAAGGAGCCAAATCAGGAGAATAGGGTGGATCACTTGAAAACCTAAGGACATCAGTTTTGCCATTGTTTCACTTCCAGTGTGTGACGAGGCTTTGTCATGCAACAGGATGACACCTTTGGAGAGCTTTCCTCAATGTTTTTCCTTGATGTTTTGCCTCAACTTGGTCAATAAAGCACAGTAATATTTTGCATCGATGGTTGAACCCTGTTGGAGGTAGTCCACCAGCAGAACTCCCTTCTTATCCCCAAAAAACTGTTCCCATTTACTTCTGCACCGGCCTTTGCACTCGGAACTTCTTTGGCCTGGGGGAATCACTGTGTCTCCATTCCTTACAGTTCCTTTGTCTCAAGATCATAACAATCGATCCATGTCTCATCACCAGTTACCCGTTTGCCCAGGAAATCTGACTCATTTCTTGCAAAATGTTCCATTTCAACTTACGACCATTTCAAGTTACGACGATAATTTTGGGAGGGATTAAGTTCGTAAGTCGAGGCACCACTGTACTGACTTTTGTATAATGCAAAATTAACTGGCCATTTGTGGGGGAAAATGAGAGGTATGTCTCAGATAACAGTCCTATGGTGTTTTAAAATATTAACTTTATTTGACTAGCCCACTTAAAATGTCACAAAATCTTGTTGTTTTTGCTGATACAGACTGATGCTTCTCTGGGAGGTCTAAAAGTATTTGTTACTGTTCATGGGTAAAGGTTCCCCTTGACAATTTTTGTCCAGTCGTGTTCGACTCTAGGGGGCGGTGCTCATCCC